CTTAAACTGCGGCTAGCGCACCCCAGCTGCTGGTACATTTACGCGACCTCGGACACTATATAATTTTTTATAAATAATTTATTACCGCAATCGCGCAGAACTCTTTATACTTTCATTCCCTGATTACAAGTGAACGTTGAAAATATTTTTAAACCGACAGAACTCTCAAAGCGCATGTAGCGCACCCCACCTGCTCGTAAATGTACGCGACCTCGAATACTATATGATTTTTTATAAATAAATTATTACTGCTGTCGCGCAGAACTCTTTGGACATTCGTTTTCTGATCATAAGTGAACGTTAAAAATATTTTTAAACCAATGGAACTCTCAAAGTGCGGCTGGCGCACCCCTCCTGCTGCTAAAGTTACGCGACCTCGAACACTTTATAATTTTTTATGAAGAAATTATTTCTGCTATCGCATAAAACTCTTTATATTTTCATTCCCTGATTACAAGTGAATGTTGAAAATATTTTCAAATATGCAGAATTCGCGAAATAGTGTTAATCTCTCTTATTTTGTTGTCGGTATTTCACATTTTGTGAATTAGGTCTTCGCAAATCGACTTTTCGCTTTTAATTAGTAGAACTATTGTTATATATGATATAGAACTCTAGAACTATTGTAAAACAAACCGGAATTCTAAAGAAATAGTTGATTTTACTGATTAGGTGCGCTGCGTGAACTTAGCGCACCTTTTTTTAAAAGTCTATTTTTTTTGTATTTAATGACCGGAACTATTTAAAATTGTTGCATAGAGCTCTAGAACTTTTTAAGAGAGTATCAGAACTCTAAAAAAAATGTCACATTTTTAAATATGGTGTGCCAAGTTCACACAAGTCTAAATTTACTCCTGCCAAAGTTCTGTAACCCCTTAAGAAGTCACGTCAGCTTAAAGCATCATAGAAAACATTAAAAATCACTAATTTTCTTCAACACAATTATAAATTATGAACAATTTTCTTAAGATAATCTTGTCAGGAATATTTGTGCCAAATTAAAAGTCAATCAGACAATTGATTCATCTATAATTACATACATGAGCGTCTTTCCGCTCTTGGCGCTCCAGAAACGGAGAAACGAAAAATTGCAGCGGCTCTGGCGCATCTCAAGCCGCCGCACAATGTACGTAAGGTTTCGGTATTAAAGAGCACGGCCGTAATCCAGATGAGATAATTGCATGTTTTGTATTCGGTGGAAATATCGCGGCTTAATTATACGGCGCGCGACATGCGATGCATAAGTTGCCTCGTAGCTCGCGCGGCTGCGCGAGCAATTTCGCGTTGCAATTCCTTCCGCGAAGTGACGTGCGCCGCGTGACCGAAATCTTACTTCGAGAGCGACGACGGCGTAATTAGAATTCTTCAAAATCTATGCATTATTTGCGCGTAAAGAGCGCACTGATGAGTTCTCTCCGTCAACATCGAACCGTAACGTCACGCTTTTCTGCTTCTAGAGACGTGTTATTATTGCAAACTTCATTTACGTGACAAACAATATCAGAGAGTTATGAGAAAGTTGAGCACTATAAGACTAATTTGAAATAAAAAGTCACGAAATGACAATGTGATCTTCTCGTGAAGATGTAAGATCTGAGAAAGGAAAAATCTGAAGAAAAATACCGTTTTATATGGGTTATCTCAGAAAGCTTTCTCTATGGATCGAAAAGTCTGAAATAAATCTAACTTTTCTCTTTGAAAAGACATAACTTTCTTTCTTCATTCACACACCGCTCGTGAAAACTCAATTCCCGAATAGTCTCGCATTACAAGATTCTTATTTTAGGAGACCGACATGTTCAGCAAATCCTGACCGTGCAGTTCTGATCGCAGGTTATCCAAAAGATATAATTTCATCCTCTTAGCAAAATTCTCGAAATTCCAGAAGAGTTTATTCTTTAAATTGTCCCAGACTCTCCTCCGTATTTTTCGTGGGAACGTAGAACGGGTTGAGATGAATACAAAAGTCCTATACCGATTTACGATATTCGCAGTAATAGTCGAGAAATTAATTGTAAAAAATTATGAAAAAGCACGCGCTGAATGGTAAAAGGAGAAGCGCTTGAGCCGCAACGCGGCCTAGTAAGATAGCTTCATATTAATGTGTGTGCACGCGTACATATCTAGTGTTCCAAACAGCAATATCCAAAATCGGGTCATAAGACGTTTTTAAAATATCTTGAAGACATCTTTAAGACAAGTTTATAACCCCTTGTCCACAATCTTGCTTTAATCTTTAAGCCGTAATAAATTGACTAATCACAGTCGATTATTTTAAAAATAATCAACTGTGGTTGGTCAATTTCTTACGGCTTAAGAATTAAAGCAGGTTTGTGAACAAGGGGTAAAGTATTGTTTTAAAAATGTCCTAAAGACGTCTTATGACTCGATTTTGGACATTTGTACTGTCTGGGTTGTGTATGTGTGTGTATATATACATATTCGGTTCATTTACATAGTCAAACAGATGTCAGTCACTAACATCTTTAACGGATTATACGGGAACTATGTTAATTATCAATTAGATTAGGAATTATTAATTAAATAATATTAATATATTAACGCGAGCGATCATCTGCCAATCTTTTTTAATTAATAATTAAAAATCTATGAAGTTATTAGAAAAATGGTAGAAGACTTTTTTTTTCAGTTTAACCTAATGTACAAGCATACGATGGCAAATGTCGCCACTACAGCTCATCTACCATATCTCGCGTGATTCACAAACCTTCTTTAATTAATATCTCGAGAATTATTGCGAATATCGCAAAACGGTATAGAACTTTTATGTTCATCTCAATCCGTACTATGCCTCCACGAAAGCTTCGAAGGTTGTTCTAGGGCACCCTGTATAAGAGAATGTCCTCTAATAATAAGATTATATTTCTTTAAATGTTTCTTTTTTTTTAATAATAATATTTTCGTGAAATGGATCACCGCGTCGGCCAAACATCGTCCAGACGCGACCTCGAACATATGTTTAAATGAAAAGTGACATATTAAGTAGACGTGAAAACTAGTCGAGTTATTATGCGGCGCATTGCGAAACTCTCGTCATCGTAATAGCCGCGGCAGGAGAAACTGCTTACGTGTAATTATTTACAACACGGGATTAGTTCGTCTAATAATGAGGCAAACGAGAAGCAGTCATCTCGGTACGTTCGCGTCACGTGGTAGTCGCGACTCTGCTGACGCAGCTAGAATTTGCGCGGGACCGACATTATGACATTCGCGCACATCGATGGAGTCCGTTTGTGTTATTCAGGAAAAACCGCTCGAGATTTTCCGCGATATTCCGAGGATATCGTGTCAATAACTAATGCGCCGCAAGATGACGTTTGTGTACGAAACTTCGCTCCTCACTCTTCGTCGTCTGCAATTTGTTTGTTAATTTTTAAGATAATTGTATCGTGAAACGAGTTTCGCAAAAATTTGATGGAATCCGCACTGCATACGTAAATATTATCTAACTGCTCGTGCGACTAAAAAAAGATTGGCTATTCGAGAGCTGAGATATTTGCAATTAAAGTTGGCGCTTCTTATACTTGATCCTTGAGATTAACGTAGTCTACGTTTACTTTGATTTTTTATATTTTCTACATTGGTAACTATTATGATATTAAAGTGATATTAAATTACTATGATATTAATTATAAACTATAATATTCAGACATAAATTAATATTCAGTATAAATTCAGTATAAATTTTGAAATTGTTGATTATTTTTTCTCTAAATATAGCGTGTATTCATAACTCTTTTATAATTCGTAATTCCATAAGTTTATAATTTTTATAGTAATACTCTTGAAATACATATAAATATATGCATTTTTGTTATCTTTACATCTCTATAAACGAATATATGAATAAAGTGGCATGAATAGTACGGCACTCAATGTAACTATCTTAAATTTCTAAAGTAAATGTTAAGTGTCATTATTTCCACTTTTGCGTCGGTTTTGACAGATATCTCCAGTTAAAATAATTTTCATCGCGTGATATGCATTAAAAATACCAAATTTCGAGCGGTTAAATAGCGATAAGTTATCTCAAATTTATCGAGAAGTATATTATCTTAAATTTATAAACAACAAGGGCAACAGTGTGTGATTGAGAAGTCATATCGTAGAATGTAAACGTGCTGTACAAGAAGTTAGAAATCTAATTAAATATCTAGATATATTAGAAATCTATCTTTAGTTTTGCTCCTGGAAGAGACCTCCCAACTCAAAATTCTAGTCCTACTTTGCTCCTCTGAGCTTTCTAACATCTGTATATTCTGAAGGAATAGTGTATGTGTAATACACATAAAGACTGAAAGTTTGCTTAGCGCCTTTAAATGGACAGAAAATGCACAAAATGCCACTTGTAGGTCCCAAAGAGGACCTCTCAGCAAAGCTGGTAGATTATATAGAATCAAAAGAGGTTGATACAGGCTTCAGTGTATTAAAATAGAGATTAAATGGAATATTGAGATCGAAAGTAGGATCAACATTCCGACTCGAGGAACTACAAGACGTAAACAACAATTGCGTTTCGCAAAGTGCCACAGAATGCGACACGAAGAGCGATCGGCGTGTTACACAGATACGTCTCTCGATTCAAATTCGCAACCATTGATCCAAATTTGCAGTTCTTGTCGCACAAAATTGTCGAGTCCTCGAAACTCTCGATCCTCATGATTATGATTGTGCTCGCGTTTGACTGATTCGCGCACGATTCTCGGTTTCCACAGCGGCTTACGCACTTCTGATTTGTCATATCTCAATAAGATAAAATTGTTTACATAAAGTATCGTCCATATCATCCGTTGCCTTTAATTCCGATTAAGTATTTATCTGTAGATATCGTTGCTTCATGAAATCGTATAAATTTGTGCAACACAATTATTATTCATACATATCCTTATTTGACAAATATTTTATATTATTGCTTGATATTTCTCTCTCTCTCTCTCTCTCTCTCTCTCTCTTTCTCTCTCTGTCATTCAGCCCCTTACGTGATGTTATATCTTCTTATCCGAACTCCCGCGAGACAGGTATCCGTATATATATTGCTACAGGGGATGGCACAAGCACTTCACCACGAAGGATATTTTCACGACCTCCCGTTTCACTACTGTCAGTCCCCTCGACACGACCCTCTTCCAAGTCACAAGATATATACCACTGGAAATTCCCTCGCGATCCGTCGCGCGAATCCACTAAACAATACTCTCGGTCAGATTGCACAAGCGTTGCAAATCAAAACGCGACGTGGACTCGTTCTGATCGATTTATTGCGACGATCACGCTCTCTGTTACTGATCCTCGCCAATTGTCCGGAGCTTAACCGGACCGGATCCTTCGATCTGCGCCCCAAGTTTTCACCGCGCTATCGTAACGCGATAAGCGTGTGGACGCCTCTCTTCACGGAAGAAAAATCGAAAGAAATTACAAAAAAAGACAAAAAGAACGAACGCTCGAGTCGTCCAGAGGTCCTGGTGATCGAGAGCGCGCGGTCACTTCCGGTCCATGACGTCTCGCCGGACGGGCGGATGAACTCGCGAGACAGAGCCGATCGAGGATCTAGCCGAGCGGCGACTAAGTCCGTCCGTGGCGGCGATTTTCATTCAGTCGCCGGCCGACTGATTAACAAATCACGCTAGTTATGGCCTCCCTTATCAGCCGGCGCGGCGATTGGACGGCCGTGTGGACGCGCAGCCGAGCTGTGGGACGGGTTAAAATCCAAGCGGCACCAATCGGGGCCGGGCCGATGATGCCGATCGGATATCGGGCCACCGCGAACGAGAAAATAATATGTTCGGCTGTGTCGAGGACCGTCGGGTGGGCTTAGGAATCGAAATCGCTCCGTTCCATACGATTTTCTATTTCTATTTTTCTTCTTCTTTACTCGCACTCTCTCTCTCTCTCTCTCTCTCTCTCTCACTCTCGCGTCTCACATCGTGAGAATGTTGTTAGCTCGTGAGGTAGTAGCCGATGAATTGCAGATCACCGCGAATGAAATGCGCGCAGAAGACGCCATTCGTTGTCCATAATTGAAACTAGTGATTGTGAATAAAACCATTAACTCTTAAAAATCAAAATCATTTATGAACTTTTGACTTTTAAGTCAAACCTTATTTCCTTTCCGCGTTGAGTTGATAGACATAGCGGAATAAAGCAGGTTACAATTCTTTATATCTCGAGTTTATCTTACGAACAAGAAATAACAAGAAATTTGAAGACATAAGCAAACATTAATTACGTTGATAAATGGTATGATTACCGATCCTAGATATTGTGTACCTGATAGTAACTGACGTTTAAGATGTGTGAATATTATAATGTAATAACAACATCAATTTGCAGACTAACTAATAAGATTAATGTGACATGACATTTTCACGTTTCACTATGACGTCTATGGACTATGACTTATTCCTGTCATTTTTACGTCATTATTACATGATTATGGAAGAATAATTGTCGTAATGACTGACCAAAAATTGAAAAATGAAAATCACGTTACGTTACTGCCTGAGTTATATATTTACCTGTTTAAAGGGTCATTGTTTCGTCGCAAGCATAAACCTGGTATAATATTAACGGGAAACCTGCTTAATCATCTTTTACTTTTCCAAAGTAAAATACAAGTTCATCTGTTTATCTGTAACTTTTGTCTACTCCCGAGAAAACAAAAGTTTCCTATTCAAAATTTCACGAATAACAATTTTAGTAAAACTGACCTTCTTTTATAACTGTTCTCTTGGAACAAAAGATGCAAATACAAAAACTTGTTATTTCAAAACTAATCGAGAAGTTTAATGTTTTTGTGCAGTCCCTGATTAAAACGGCTGTGACACACGTCACGCTGTGACGTTCTCGCTCTTGATAATGTAAAACGAGAATCTATTTAAGAAGTGTTAAACCCGAGTGAGATATAGCTAACACATGCTATGCGAAAGGAGCGTGGCATAATCGTATTGTGCAAAAAAACATGAATCAGAATTTTACATTACGAACGTGATAAATAATTCATGTGGTATATTATGGTAATAGTAGGAAAACTGCAGTAATAACCGTGTGCACTACTTTACATACTAATTTACAATGTCGGTCTTCTTGGGAATATTCGACTTGGCGATACATGTGTGTAAAACCGATTAAAAAGCACACGACAGCTCTATGCACGATATTATAATCAATAAAAAAAAATAAACCACCTCGAAAACATTAAAAGTATGAAATAAGTTTGAACCATTATTCCTACTTACAATCCCACATACAGAAAATTGCATATTGCACTCAAATAAACGTTACTTGTTTCAAGTTTATACAAAGTCTGACTATTCACGGCACACCCGTTGTGTGCGGGTAGAACTCGTCAAACTAAACAGAAAGTTCCTCCCCCCACTACAAACTACGTAAAACTCGCGCGATACTTTGGTTTTTAAGAGTTTTCGAAGGTGGTTTATTGTTTGCTAAAAATGTTCTTTATTGTGCTTTTTATTGACTAAGAATTTGATTTTCTATTAAAACGGTTCTTCTTCTTGAAGTCGGTTAAAGACACGTCAGTTACGTCTTGTATCTCTAGTTGTTCTTAAGGAAATAATGGACCCAATTTCCACAGGTTAAATCCGGATAATCTAAAAATCACGCAGCTAACAAACTGAACAAGAACGGAAAGTTTCATCTCAACATCTCCAATGCTTAATAAGGGAGCATAGAAATAAACATACATATACGGAAAAAAAAGATTTTCTAATATATGAACAATTAAAATTATTAACTGCAGAAGCAAATTTTCTTGCTTTCATAGCAAAGTTATTTAGTTGTGATAGCTAAAAGATTTGCTAATATATTAGCTATCACAACTAAATAACTTTGCTATAAAAGCAAGAAAATTTGCTCCTGCAGTTAATATTTTTAGTTGTCCATATATTAGCAAATTTTTTTCCCGTGTACATACAAGCCGAAAAGTCTCCTTTTTGAAGTTGGTTATACAGGGTTGGCAAAAAGTCCGGAAACGGTCAAATATCTCGAAAAGGATCAACTGTAGCGAAAAATATGTAAGTAGCAAAGTTGTAGGGCTTAATAAAATGTACCTAATAATAGCTAAAAATTTGACTTTGAGTGGAGGACGAAGATCATACAAAGGTCAAATTGAATTTTTTTAATTGGAGCCCCCACTTTTTATTACATATTCTTGTAGCTTATTTTAAGGGCTTTCCAAAAACCTATAATAAAGTATTTTTTTATTAGGCATATTTAGAGTTATGAGGCTTGAAAGGATTTTGGTCTTTAACTGTTTCTGTTTCGTAAAAACGTATCACTGTCTTCTGAACAGTGGATTTAGAAATAAAATTGCGATCAGGATATGCAGCATTGAATGTGTAGATTAGTTACTTCTTTGTATAACCTAATATGGTCTCCAAATTTTCGATAAAGAAACAGCATTATCTTTTCTTTATCGGTTAACATTTTTAAAAAAGAAATTTGAAATTGTAGTTGGAAAAAGAAAGGGAAAAGACAAAGAGTAAGATGCAAGAGAGCACGACTCGTTTTTAAAATACAAAGATCGAGAAGCGTTATCGTGAATTGCGGGTATGCGCGAGTTTTGACTGAGTACGTGTGATATTACGTCGTGAATGAATAACCGCGTTCGATGCGAGCGAATGAACAACTAGGCTGGGAGCCTAAAAAACATAAACACAGGAAAAAAACAAGAATAACTTTGTTTTTCGTGTCTCGAGCTAGACGATATGACCGGCTTAGTTGTTCATTCGCTCTCATCAAACGCGATTATTCATTCACTACGTAATATCACACGTACTCAGTCGAAACTCGCGCATATCCGCGCATCACGATAACGCTTCTCGATCTTTGTATTTTAAAAAACGAGTCGCGCTCTCTCGTATCTCACTCTGTCTTTTCTCCTTCTTTTTCCAATTACAATTTCAAATTTCTTTTTCGAAAATATTGACCGAAAAAGAAAAAATAATGCTGTTTCTTTATCAAAAATTTAGAAACCATATTAGATCATACGAAGAAGTAACTGATCTACACATTCAATGCTGCATATCCTAATCGCAATTTTATTTCTAAATCCACCGTTCAGAAGACAGTAATACGTTTTTACGAAACAGAAACAGTTAAAGACCAAAATCCTTTCAAGCCTCATAACTCTAAATGTGCTTAATAAAAAAATATTTTATTATAGATTTTTGGAAAGCCCTTGAAATAAGCTACAAGAATATGTAATAAAAAGTGGGGGTCCAATTTAAAAAATTCAATTTGACCTTCGTATGACCTTCGTCTCCACCCAAAGTCAAATTTTTAGCCATCATTAGGTACATTTTATTAAGCTCTACAACTTTGCTACTTACATATTTTTCGCTACAATTGATCCTTTTCGAGATATTTGACCGTTTCCGGACTTTTTGCCAACCCTGTATAATAAGACCCATAACTTCCACGACCATTGCGATATCTTGTCACGACAGGCCAACTTTATTTCGCGAATTAGGAGACTCGTGCGTAATTCCGTGTAATGCATGCGTGATCTGCCTTTTCGCGCTTCGTGCAGTGTTTGCACATTTGAATCGAGAAATTCAGTGGTGAAATCACAGATCCGAGTTATGCGACTTATTGCTGGATCAATGACGCACGCTGGATGCTTTTCAAGTATAATCACGAGTAATCGTGCTTCAGAGATCTTTTCCCGTGAAAAGACGCTACGGAGACGAAGTGCGTGATACCATATGAATATATGTAGATGCATGGAAAACGGCCGACTCGCGTGTACTTTTACAATGAACAGCCGAGAAAGATACCTGGACGACCTGAATAAGCAGCCGCAGACTCAATCCGGTCCATAGACCGCGCGTGTCGAAAATGAAAAATGAAAAAGACATAAACGCCGACTTCGCAGACAGACTAGCGGGTAGTGAAAAGATTCTCGATCGGAATTCTTTCGAGAGTGCGGTCTAACCGGAGAAAGACAATTATCTCGCGAACGAGTAGTCGCGGTCGATTCCATTAACGTCGCTCTTACGCATATAATGATTCAGATCAAGGAGCAAATAAATGCTCAATCAATTAATTAAGCTCCTTTTCTGCGGTTTCTTAAATAACGTGAATAATAAGGCTTGACGATAAACGATTACTGCAAAAAACTGACATGAATATGAATCACTTTTCGAAATATTCATGTTGATGAAAACAAACAGAAAAAAGTATGTATCAACGACTCGATTCTATCGCAGGGCGTTTCAGTAAAAGGGCAATCTCTTAGGGGCGTACACAGATCAGGTAAGAATAACCTCATATGTTCGTATAAAATTTTTTTCTACAACGTATCCTTGCTGAGATATTCGCCTCTGATGTTAAAGTTTGAAAAGCATTTTCTAAATATAACTCTTATACACTACTTAGAAAATTTTGATAATTTTTATATTATTCTTATACTAAGCTAAGGTCCGATATTTTAGGCTTTCACGGTGTCCATGCATATTAGATTTGGTTTCCGGATTTGAGCCGCGTGGATTCTCACAGAAAAACAAACAAAGAAGAATCCACGCGGCTCAAACCCGGAAACCAAATCTAATAAGCCAAGGTCATTAGCACAGTGTGATGCATTTGTCGATATTACGTCAGAAGGCCGGGGGGCAAAGCACCCCTAAATTTCACAATCCCCAAATTTTGGAGTAAAATTTTTTATCCTTAAAACACTTTTTTAGATTCTTCAAACTTTTATAAAAAAAGAAAAAGATATTTATATTTGATTTCGAAAAAGTAAATTGTAAATTTTCCTGAAGGAGAATAGTGAGGAATATCTTCTTTCTCTTATTTGTATTAATCCACTTTTAAAGTGCCTGAAACCTACGCCTTCCTCCGAATAATTGATTCAAATAAATACAAAGTCACGTTTTTCCCTCTAGTTATCTGAATCGTGGCATCAAAACACCAGGGTCATTACTCTACCTGAAGTTATGTTAATTTTCTCCTCTGCTTAACTTATTCCGCGTTTGTTCGATGCAGGACGCGATAAAATCCCTTTAGAATACTACCATAACGTCTTTTATACACAGAATGATATTAATGATGCGCGTGACGCTTAAAATATCATCCGTGCGAGTCCATTGACATAAGAATGGACTCCATCTAAGGCTTGATTTACAATATATACAGAGTGTTCCAAATTTAAATGTCAAAACTTCGGGAGAGGATCGATAAACTAAGAAAAAAAAATTCTTTATAGATATACTTCGTTTTGGAGAAAATCGCAAAAAAAGACAAACGTAGTTGCTTCGTTCTCGTACTACTTCTAAAGTATTATCGTCATTAAAATCGCGCGCGCACGCACAAAAAGAATAATATTCCGTTTTAATATTGGTGATTCGGTGAAAACTTTCTTTGTTTGTTTACATTTCTGCCTTTCTTCTGTAAATTCGCCAGTTACTCATCAGAAGCCATCGAGTGAATTCCCATACAGCACAGCAATGTTGCAGCAACATTGCAGTAATGTTATTTTGCAATATTGCGATTTTATTGCAAAATGTTACTGCAACGTTGTTTTTGGGTTGCAGCAACGTTAAAATGTCCGCTTTTTGGAATATTGCAACGCAATATTATAGCAATATTGCAATATAATAAATCTGCAATAATACAATATTATCGCAAATATTGATTAATGTTGCATACAAGTTGCAGAAATTTACATTAAAAATTACATTAAAAATTATATAAATATAATTTACATTAAAAATTATATAAATATTTTATGCAAATATATCTCTAACTTCTCTTTTATTATGAAATATTTGGACTAAATCATTTATCTTTGTCGTTGTACTAAATAATATTATAAGAAAATTATAATTACTGCTTCGGTTGCATATAGAGACAATAAGTAGATATCAACGTGAATAAATAAGTGTGAATGAGTAAGTAATAAATAAGTACAAAAATGAAAACTACGTTTGTCTTTTTTTGCGATTTTCTCCAAAACAAAACAAAAACGAGCATATCTCTAAAGAACTTTTTTTCTTAGTTTATCGATTCCCTACACCCTCCTGAAATGTTGACATTTAAATTCGGGATACCCTGTAGAGTAAGCTTGATGTAAGAAGTAAGAGTAGGAGTAAGAAATAGAAATAATTTATTTCGCTTACGCCTATACTCTAATTCTCTTACGGAAGTTAAAGAAACATTTCTGGAGTAAAGAAATTAAAGTACAAGCAGGTTCATAAACAAAATAAATTATTTTTAGTCTTATTCGCGAATGCGTCAGGATGAGAAACGACGAGTTATCGATTACAGTTTTTCACTTATCGACGAGAAGAAATACGGCCAGACAAGATCTATGCCGGTCGAAGGGTAAGAAATATTCACCCTCCGGAGGACGCCGCGAGGTGCCAGAGTGTCGTGACAGCGTGAACGACAGCCCTCGATGTCTAATCGCGAATTGATCGAAAGGTCAGGGAGATCTCCACCCCGAGCGACCACCCTCGAGGACGTCGCGAGGAAAGGGAAGCAAGAGAAGGGAAGCGAGCCTCGAAGACGCGATACCATCTGGACACAGCCGGTCGCGACGGGATTAGGCGCGTAGGAAACCTTATCGACATGATCTCTCACGGACGGACGAACCGACGAACGAACGGGCGTGTCTCGAAAAAAAAGAGAGAGAGAGAGAAAGAGAAAAGAAAAAACACCCTCGCATCAGAGATTAAGGCGCGATCTTCCGCGATCCTCGCGCGCTCGGCCTGGAACGAATC